GCTAGAGCCAGGTGCCTTCCCTGCCGGGGCTGCGCAGCACCAGAGAGAAGCTTCAGGTGCTGGAGCTGGCTGCCAGGCAAGGGAAGCTGGGAGGGAAGCCCCAGCCGCCTTCTGCTGCAGGACAGGGAAGGCAGCTAGCTCCAGAGCCTGAAGCTACTCTCCGGTGCTGTGCAGCCCCGGCCGGGAAGGCACGTGGCTCCAGCATGTGGGGCTTCCCTCCCTGCTGTGTGAGTGCAGAGGCTGCACATGAGTGGCAGGGAGCACTGGCGATACAGACAGCCGGGGGGAGGCTGCACTTCTCTCTGCAATGTGCAGTGCTGGCCGGAGCCGTGCCCCACCGGCACCTGGGCCCTGGGCTCCCCACCTGTTGCTACTCCCACTGCCACTGTCTGCTAGGGCTGCGTGCCATGGGGGGAGTGTGGGCCCCACCCCCCCATACCCCCTGCTCTCCCTCACATGCTGCCCACCCCAGCTCTGCACTGCCACCGCCCCCTGTCCCCCTAGGCACAGTCTCCATTCTGTTGCCAGCTCCAGTTCCATACTCCAGGCTTCCTCCCAGCTACAGTCCCACCCCCACTGCTTCCTTACCTGCTGCCCAGAGCTAGCAGGAGACTGGGAAAGCGAACAGGTCTTGGGGGGGCTGCAGCAGCAGCAGCCCTAAACAGAAGTAGCACGCTGGCCCGTTAGACCCTGCTGCCCACGAGGGTGGGAGCCAGAAAATAGGGTACGTTTTTGGGGCTACAATTTGTTGGGGGGCCCCCGTAGGTCAGATGAAAGTGCTTGGCGGGCCAGATCCAGTCCATGAGCTGTATTTTGCCCACCCCTGGTGTAGACAAAGTGTCAGAATACTGGAAGTAGCGGGTAGCCACTGAAATTTGTAGGAAACAGTTTTTAAACTACCAAGATAAATTACATTTTTATGGAACCCATAGTTAACTTGTGGAACTCATTGCCACAGGAGGTTGTGGAGTCAGATAGTATAGTTGGTTCAAAAAAGGGACTAGAGAAGTTAATGCATGCTGGACCTATTAATAGCTATTAAACAGAACAGTCACTGATGTTCCACAGATTGCAGCCTGAAAACTGATACCCAATGTGCAATTCTGTATCTGAGCACTGGTGGATTGGAACACATCCCTCTTGTTAGGGAACATGATTATATTCTGCAGCTTGTATTAGTGTTATTTATACTGTGGTTAGTTGTGAATGATCACATGAATCTTTTGGTGTCTACTGCTCCCTGATTGGATAGCTATACAGAAACTTCTAATATGAGCACTCTTCTGTGAAGCCTTGAAATTAGCTTTCTGTGAATATTCATGTTACTTGAAATATAGTCTATGAGTGCTTTCAGCAAATGAACACAAACAGCATAGCTGAAGCAAATTGATTTAAAAAAATGACTTAATGTTCACAGAAAATTTCTTGCAGCTTTCTGCAAGTTCTGCTTGTAATACTGTGACACACACAGGAATCCAGACATCATTAAATTAATTTTGCATTTATATTTTCTTAATTTGGGCTTAAAGAGATCGAAAGACTATGCATATATAATCCTAATCCTGTAATGGAGTCTGTGTAGTCTACTATCTAGATTTCTAGTAAACAACATTTTTTCTAAAATCTGTTTTATTGTTTCCATTATTTCTACAAAATAGTTAATAATATATGGCATCTAAAAATGGCTTTCTTAGAAGATCCCAAAGCACTTTCTACCACTTTACTGAAGGAACAAACTGAGGGACAGAGAGCCTTATCTAGTAAAGTACTTCAGCTGAATCCTAACTTGAAGATTGTGACTACTCTAAGTCAGTAAAGCAAATCCTTTGCTTAGTTAAGCTCTTAAGTGGCTTGCTAAATAGTGGTCCGAATGCTACAGTCAGAAAGCTTAAATGTATTAATGATTTGGAGCTGACCTGTCCAGCTGGCAGCCCAGGAACTGCATGTGGCCCATGAGGGGTTAAGTTGTGGCCCCCAGGCACTTACTCAGCCAGTGCTCCTCCCATTGCTCCAGTTGCAGCAGCAACTCTCCCTCGTCCAGCTGCTCCTTCCTATCTCCACCCCAGGGGCAGAGCTAAGGGTGAGTCCAGGTTGCCTGGGGGAGGAAAGGGGGGATCATGCCTGTACAGTACAGCAACTGGGGGGAGTGACTGGTGCAGTTGTGCGGGTGCCCAGTGAAGCCAGAAGGGGAGGGGGTGAGGATCTTTGCAATGTGCAGCCCAGTGACGGTGGTTTAAAGTACCATGAAAAAAAAATCTAAAAAGATAAAATCAGCTAATAACGTGGATACACAGAAACGATTTAGCTAGCTTAATGGCGATTTTTGTCACATGGACATAGGAAAAGTGTAACGTGGAAACAAGAGAAGTGTCATGTGGACAAGTGCCCTCATATCTCACTTGGTGCAAACCCTGCTGGTGAACCCCTCAGGGGCTTAGAAATTGGACAGGCCTGATTTCAAGGGTGGGATTGAGTGCACACTTACAAAATTTGCAGAGGACACCAAGCAAAGTTGCAGATGCTTTAGAAGGCAGGGTCAGGATTCAGAATGATTTTGATAAATTGGAGAAATGGTCTGAAGTCAATTGCATGAAATGCAGTAAGCACAAGTGCCAAGTGCTGCACTTGGGGCAGCACAATTACAGATTGGGGAATGACTGGCTAGGCTCTGCTACTGAAGAAAAGGACTAGGGGACATAAGCTGAATATGAGCCAACAGTGTGCTCTTGTTTCCAAAAAGAGCCTTGTTTAAAAATTCAGTATTGGACTGTATTAATAAAAGTATCACTGGCAAAATGAAGGAAAGTAATTTTCCCATACTGTTCAGCACTGGTGAAGCCTTAGTTTTGGGCCTCTTACTTCAAGAAAGATGTGGAGAAATTAGGAAGAATCCAGTGTAGAGCAACTAAAATGAGGTCTTGGAAACATTTATGAGGAAAAAAACCTAACACCCCCCATCCCCCCTGGGTTTGTTTAGTTTGGAGAAGAGAAGAGTGAGTGTGCATTTAATAACACCCTTCAAATACCTGAAGTTAAATATAACGAGGATGGAGATAGACTATTCCCTGTTACTGCAATAATAGTTATGAATTATAGCAAGGAAAATTTAGGTTGGATGTCAGGAGGAACTTTCTCGTAATGAGAGTAGTTAAATATTGGAACAGGCTATTCAGTGAGGTTGTGGAATCTCTATCATTGGAATATTTTGAGAACAGGATAGACAAATGCTTGACTGGGATGGTTGAGGCAGGAATTACCCTGCCTTAAGCAGGGAATTAGACTAGATGACCTCCTGGGGTCCCTTCCAGCCCTACTTTTCTATGATTCCAGGAAGTGAATCATTTTGAAGTCATGTAAGTACCCTGTTGGTGCCCGGCATGGGGGTCAGGGGCAGGGGCAGGGGCAGGGATTATCAATGAAGCTCAGGTGTCTTGACTTCCATGTCTGTGCTCTAACTATTTGGAAACTAATGTTCTTTCAGAGTATATTTAAGCCATCATTGTAAAACTTGTTATTCAGTCATTGCCCCCATCTCTTTCAGACGTCCTGAGATTACAATAGTTGCTGCAGAACCCCTCAGGCCATCTTCCTGGTTTTCAGGTGGAAGTCATATCACGCCACAGGGATTAGGATTCCCACCTACTACCTGCCAAGCCCAGTGGAGGACAAGTGAGCTTGTTCCAGCTGAGGTGAGCTGATCTAGGTATATGTATGAAAGACACGAATTTGATTTTTAGTATAAAGTTAAAAGATGCTCAGTTGAAAGCATCAAAAATACCAGACCTTATTGTGCCCTAGAACTTGATGTGTTACCATCTATGAAAAAGACAAAAAAAAAACAGTTTTGGGGGATTTGGGAGGGGTTTAAATTTGTACGTATTAATGTAAAACATCTAAATTCGTAATAGTTTTTTTTAGTCTTTGTATTTGGGCTTGTTAATATTTTTATTTCTCTGTTTTGTAGCTTCCACCATCTTATGAACAAGTGATAAAAGAAATCAACCAAGTGCAAGTTCATACAACAAATAATAATAATGCTACTGCTGCTTCTAGACCTACCACTACTTCTGCTACACAGACTGACTTTCCAGAGGAAATAATCAGCCATTTGTCAAACAGTAATGTTAAAAACAACCTGTCTACTATCTGTGACTCTGAAAGTGCTCCAGGTAAGTGTTTTGTTGTCAGAGACTTCATAAGTTATATTCTGGGGGTGTTGTACAAACATCATAGTAAACATATGTTAAATAAAAATATTTCATTTATGGGGCTAGGTTTAGCTGTAAGTTATAGTTGCTTCTAAAATCTGATGACCTGACATTACACTGAATCATAACTAAAACTTGTTGTTCTTTATAGTATGCTGGGCTGTGTTATATCTGTCAGTGTCTTTCACAAAACCATTACAAGTCTTTGCCCAATTCAGCAGTGCTGGGTAATTGCCATGGTTAAGTCCAAAATCAGCCTGATGTAGCAGGGTTGGTACAGGTCACGACTGAATCATGTACACTCTGGATTTAGAAAGTTACAGTACTGTTTCATGCTCTAGCCAAAAACCTCTGTTTCATGCTAGAAAACCATCAGATTTGTGAAATCTCTCTTGATAGATAGATATACAGGTTTGCCTTGCCAACCATGTTTTTGAGTGTCCATGCTTAATATTCTATATACCATTTTGGCTACCCCAGTATACAGTTTTGAGTAACCATGGTTTTCCATGGCCACGCATCAGCCTGCCACCTGCCATTTTTCCCATAAGCCTTTTGTTTTGCCAACCACGGTTTTCCAACCACAGGAACTTTCAGGAACCTAACCCCAGCAGTTGGTGAGGGAAACCTGTGTGTATGTATTTTGACTTCTGAAGGTTCTTTATGTCTGTTGAAATGAACCTTAACAAAGTAATTTTGGATTCATAA